CTTATCTTCATAATAATTAGCCCAAAAAAATGTCGGGGTGGACAAACGCCCCACTGCACTAATGCCGAAAAAAACTCAGTGCACTAACGCAGGGTTAATTAACCATTTCAAACAACTGATTTCCTATATTTCAAATTTCTTATATAAAAGTATAAATTAAATTAATTAAATTATTTTAAAATTATTAATATAACCATAAAATTAATATTAGTAATTGAAATTTAATAATAATAATTTTGTTTCGTTACTTAAGAGATGGCAACAGTGTAATTGATATTTGGCGGGAGAGAATAATTTATTTTCTGCGTGTTTATGTCACGATGACAGAAATGGTGCCAAAATTAAATATTATTGCTGCTGCCTGTAAAAATATGGGCATTGGATGCGACGGTCGTCTTCCCTGGAGTTTAAAGTACCGTGAAAAATATTTATACAATGATGTTAGGGATCGTCCATAAATTACGTAACGCTATTTTTATATATTTTTATTACCATTCCCTCCTGCATTCCTTTTTAACTCCGTATTTTTATACTTTTTAACTTTCATTCCTCCTGTAGTGCTCGATAATTTTAGTGTTGGTATATGCACATATCCATACCCAAAATTATGTAACGCAAGAGTGTAGTCGTGCTAGGATGTACCAGGGCGGCTCCCTGGTACTTTATTATATTATCTACATATATAACATATAAAGCGGTGACGTAAACAGTATGGTTTGCTAGGCAACGCTTCAGAATCAAAAATGAATCTTTCTGTCTTTCTGTAGTGGGTTATTTAAAAAACATTACATAATGCAGAGTTGAGATCTTTGCATTATGTAATGTTTTTTAAATAACCCATTGTTACAATGCATGTGACCTTGTAATGCATTGTAACAATTAACTATATGCCCACCAACCCACGTCTGCATTATGTAATTTATGGATAGCTCCTTATGTTTACTAATGCATAGATTGATTTAAGATTTTGGTGACATTTCATTGATAAATTGAACCATTATAAATTTATATTTAGCATAAGGATTACAAATGTGCTTGTAATTTGCTTCAATAGAAAAAATTTCATCTGCTAATCTGATTGATATTAATAGAATTACAGAAAAGCAAAAGATTGATAAATTAAGTTAGTATGAATAATATGTTGATGGCAGAATCATTTTAACACTTTTAAGTACAGTACATTATACAGATATAGGAAAAAATAAACTAGTAATGAGCAAAGAAATGAGGCCATTAAGAAGGCAAGGCCTTGGCCATGGATATGGCCGTTTGTTGATGTGGTACTGGTTGATTATGTTTAATTTCATACAGATTAAAGTATTCTGTTAAAATGTTATTTTTCAGATTCATGTTATGACAATCAAGTCTATAAAATAAAAATTTTTTAATTGATACCAAATAAAATACCGAGCATAAAGATATTATTTTTGAAAATATATATTTAATATAATTTTTGATAAACAATGAACAATCAGATAATGTTGAAGTCATCATCTTTAAATATTGTATAAATATTTTTAGTGTCTTATAATATAGCTTGTAAAATAATTCTTTTAGAACTTCAAGAACTATTAAAAACAAACTATGTTTTTTTGAATAGTTTTTGAGTTAGTTTGTTAGAGTTTATTGGCGCAAGGGCCATACAGGCCAAGCTGCACCGAAAAGTTTTTGAAGTTATTCTTATATTTTGCACAATATTTAAAAATTCATCTAAAGAATTAAAGCAATTTCAAAAACATTAATACAATATTAAAATCTGATTTCTTCAATGATTTGTTGTTTGTTTTTGAATTTATTTTTAATAGCATATTTCATCATCACTACTGTCATATGGTGATAAGTTATACATTTTAATTTTATTTGTTTTGTATTCATATATAGAATGTTTAACAGTCTTATTGAAGTTAAGTTTTAACTTCAATAAGACTAAAATGTGAATTTATTAATTAAAGTACAGTACTGGACCAAATAACTGGCAAGTTTGGGACTGGAAGTGGTCTGAATTCTGTATTTTCTGGTTTTCTGGCCACAGGCTACCTTGAAATAGTTACTTCCTTTGATTGCTGTCTCAGTGAAAATAACAAAATATGATAAATTCAAAAATATTTAAATGTGCTAAATCTGAACTTTCTACTTTAGAAAGTTCAGATTTAACACATTTAAATCTTTGTTCTCTAATCTTTGTTCTCTAATTTTAATTATTGCATTTATATTTAACATGAAAAGTGATTATATAATAAAAATTTAACCATGTTGATTTTTATTATAATAAAAATGAAAACAGAAATTTATAACATGAGGGTTTTCATTTCATTTTAATTTAAAATAATTTTATTATTATTTTAGAAAAGAAATGGCATTTTTTACGAGAATTACATCTGAAACAAATAATCCTGGTAAGTCATGTCAATTGTTTTATACTAAACAATATATAACACCTTCAGAATATTGGAGCAGCCTCATGGTAACCTATTACTCAATTCATCACTCCAAAGTTCAATAAACAAAAAGAAAAACTCAAAAATGGAAATTCAGAAAATATCAGTTATAAAAAGAGTTATATAAGAATAATTGAATATGAAAATTGTTTATTTTTTGTTTTGTTTTTGTGTTTAGAAAAAAGGAATGCAGTAATTATGGGAAGAAAAACATGGTTTTCTATTCCTGAGAAGTTTAGACCACTCCGTAACAGAATTAATATTGTATTAAGTACCACTCTGATGTAAGATTTATTTTTCAAATACAGTGAAATACAGTGGGTGATCGGTTAACAAACATAATCTGTTCCAAGACTTTGTTTGCTATCCAAATTGTTCATTAACCAATTATCAATTTGCCATAGGTTTGTATGGGAATTTAATTAATTCATTCTGGAGACCCCAAAAAGTAAAAAAAAATATACTTTCTTACTACGTTTATTTATATGAAATAATAAAAATAAATATATATGAGACTTGCATTTTTATTAGTTATGTTTTTTTGTTTGTGGGAGTTAAATAATCTGTCTAATGTCAATTGCTTCTCTCTCTTTTTCAGGATTTTTAGAATTAATAGCATTGTAATTGTAGAGATCCCCAAGCTTATTAACCTCAACCTGGTTTGTATGCCATTTTAAGACCATTGATCTGACATCTCCCACTTCTTCAAAAGATGTTTAATTAATAGCAGATATCAGCATTAATCCTCTTTTTCATAATAAAACATATCTCGCTGAGTTTCTTTGCGTTCTTCTGTCGTCAGATCCGTTTCAGGTTCCATTATGAGCTCTTCAATGTTCTTTATTTCTCAGATGTGATATTTGTTACCCCTTTAGCTGCTTGAGTTTTCTTAATTATACAGTATCTTTCTTAGATAAAATTGAACTGTGCCCTACTGTAGATTTGTTCAAGCCATACTGCCTAGCAACATCAGACATCTTCTACCCACTCTCTACCTTTGCTATGATACTCTCACCTTTTAAAAATAAAAACTGACGCAAAACTTAATGAGTGCCCGCCCGACAGTCTTGCAAATACTATAAAAGAATTGTTTGTCAGAAAAATAAACAGATTTAATTACAAGGGAGTATTTCAAAGTTCAAGGAATACTATCCAATCAGTATATATCGGGTTGAGCGTCGATGTTGACATCTCTCACGCTCCAAAAAGTTACCTGAAGACAAAGGAAAATCAATCAGTATTTGCTATTTTTGTCACTTCTTTTTATTCTAAATATCACTTATGGTAGCTGCTATTTCGTTGTGAATGTGTCTCTTTAATCCGATCAATTCAGTTTGGTAGACTATCAATACAGCTTTCAGGTTAGATACTTCTTTTATTGTTTTGACTGAAGAGGGACTTAAAATTCATATAAGTCCGAAATGCATATGTCAAAACAATAAAAGAAGTATCTAACCTGAAAGCTGTATTGATAGTCTACCAAACTGAATTGATCGGATTAAAGAGACACATTCACAACTTCTTTTTATGTTTGTTCAGTGTGAAGTGTTTGTTATACAATCGTGTTCGTTGTCTGATCATAAAAATCTTTCACCAAAGTGTTCGTTATCCGATTTGTTCGTTAACCGATCACCCACTGTATATTTGATAATTACTTAAAATATATATATTTCAAATGAAATGAATTTATATTTTTTTATTTATCATAGAGTATTACCTGGAGCTGATTACCTAGTACGATCTTTAACAGATGCAATTCATCTTTTATCTTCAGAATTAAAGGATAAAGTGGAAAACTGTTATGTTATTGGGGGAGAAACCCTGTACAAAGTAAATGTTACATTTTTTAATATTTGTAAATATTTTAGGATATAAGTTGAAAACTAATCATTTGATAATTTTTCCCTAAATAAAATTTCATTTACAAATTAGAATTATTATATTATCTCTGATCAAAATTTTGTTGTTAAGTGTTATGAAAAAGTCATTTTCCTGATTTCTTATTATAACATATTAAATTCTAGAATCTGTTTTATATGTTTACCGTGATTACTTTTGAATTAATGTTTATTTTATCAAAAGTAATAAGAAAACACATGAATACAACAGGGATGGCAAACCTATGATATGTGTGCCCAAAGTGGCACTATAGAGAAATCATCTGGCACGTAACATATCATACGATTTCGATTGATCATCTGTCTTTTTCAATCACCCTTTTCTCAATAAGCTTTTTTTTACACTTATTCTAATTAAAGCATATTTGTTTAATTTTTTAAATATTGTTATTCGAAGTTTAAAACTTTGGCACGCATAAACATCTTTAAAGCTACTGTATGGCACACGGGTTCAGAAAGGTTAGCCATCCCTGACATACAACAATAGAAATTTCTATATGTAATCAATGTTTTATTTAATCAAGAATGTAATCACCAGTATTGTGGAGCCTTTGTGATAATGAAGTTACCAATGCATATTCTGATATTATTCCAAAATCTCTTTCAAAAATTAAATGGTTTAGAAAACAGAACATATGAAAAATTGAGATTAAAGTTCAATAAATGAGGAATATTTTGTTGTCTCCCAGTCCATATTATACAGAATTGCTGAATTATAAATAATGAATTGTTTTCACTTTGTAAAAAAAAAATTTAATTTATTTTTCAGTATTGTTTTATTTCTGAATGGAAATTTACTTACACTCAAACCTTGATACAGTATTCTCCAAAATAAAATAACACCAATGAATACTTTAAATAGAATTCCCCATAAATGTTTGGTAGAGAAATTTTCAGTTCTTGTGAATTACTGAACATAAGATTTTGAATTGCAAACAACATTGAATATCACATTATTTGATGATAACAAGTTCAAATTAATGTGTACACTCTATTACTGTATACAGGATGTTTTGAAACTCATGGACAAAAATTTAAGAGGTGATAGAAAACATGTAAACAAGCAATTTTCATGATACAATGCATGGGTGGTGAGCAAGCAGTGAACTGCTAGGAGGTATCCGTTACTGTCACATGAAAGAATGAAACACCAAATGGATAGAGGAGGTACTGAATAATTTTATTGACAGCATGTGTGGCAAAATTACAGAAATTGCTCAAAAGAGCGACTGCCTGTGGTAATGCAGGCATTACACCTGCGACGTAGTGAGTGATGCACTTTTTCAAACAGACCTGGCATGTCTCGGATGGCACCAGCAGCAACAGAAATCCTGGCAACTAGGTCCTCATCGGAGTTGATGGGGCTTTCGTACATAAGACTTTTCAAATGGCCCCACAGGAAAAAGTCTAGACAGGAGAGATCGGGTGAGCATGCACGGCCAAGGTGAGTGTGTTGACCAAGGCTCACCCTGACCAATCCATTGCCCTGGGAATTTAGTGTCTAAAGCGCTTCACACGTCCAAGCTGAAATGGGGTGGTGCTCCGTCGTGCTGGAACCATATACGTAACCACATACGTGCTTGTATGTTGGCTGCAACAGGTTGAAGTAAGTCTGGCAATACCTGTTGTAAAAATGTGAGGTATGTTCTGCCATCCAGTTGGACTGGCAGAAGGTATGGGCCGATCAAAATGGTCACCCACAATTCCAGCCCAAACATTTGCGTTGAAACACTTCTGATATGCATGAGGGTGTGGTGTACAGATTGTTAGATGCCCACACATGAAGGTTGTGTATATTAGCCAGTCAGTTGCGCAGTACTGCTATTGGAGTAACTGGTTTTAGTTAAACTGTTGCGCAGTACTCCAATTGGAGTAAGTGTCAATTTTTTTTCGTAATTAACTAGTTGGTGGCGATTTAAGCACTGATTGGCATTTATCTACATAGACTAAGTCTGTTTCAACGAATAAGATATTTGTTACCACTCCCTATTTTTAAATTTACCCATAAAACTCCTCCTTTCCATGTTAAGTCTATGGGAGACCCTTCTTTCGTTCATTGGACAATAAAATTCTTGTTTGCACGTCTGTTGACCTCTAATTGGTATATTATAGTTAAATGACTATCTTTTAACGAATAAGC